ACAGCGTTTCGAAGGGACTATCTGAAGAGAGAGGGACAATTCGAGTCTGACAGTGAATTAGAACATCATTGTTATCTAAACCCGATGAAGGTAAAAGATCTAGTAGCCGAATCTCTCGGTTAGACAACATAGTGATCAACATACGCTTGTGGGAGGAGATATGAATCTCACTCAGGGGCTGATGCCTGGCCTACTAGTCATCAAATGCCAAGGAAATTATCATGAATGCGCATTATCGGCTCACAGGCCGCCCATGTCCCAAGTCCTATTGCGCACGGGAAATCCATATGGACCTTTCGATAAACCCCACTTCATACCGGTCGTCTAGCCCGACTTCGGTGCAGCATGGGGGCTAGAATAGTGCAGACTTGTATCATCCTACCGAAGGTCTCTTCTTCACTTAAGTTCTTGATCCCTATGTCGGACAGACGAAAAGCCGTGAGCACTATCTCGAACCAGATAAACCCCAATACAAGCCACGCCCCCCTGTTATTGCTATATACTACTAACAGTGTAATCTACCCTGTCTAGACCATAGCAATAAATTTATCTTATTAAGCAATACCTGTCTGTAAGGTTATCGATTGAAAGGTGTCTTGCACGATTCAATTCGGAGTTCCTATTTATATGGAGGCAGGCGGAGATAAAGTCAGTCGTTAACTACTAAACCCCTGAAATACCCGAGTATAAGACTCTGCTTTACCAACACAGTTATTGCAGACACTATAATGTAAGTAGAAACAGCATCTTCGAGAGGTTGGGCTTGGGGGTCGAGCCTAGCTAAATATTAAGAGTTTGATCGGGGATAGAATCTAGGAAGCATTGAGCTAGGTGATCTGATATGCGATTGTTTTACTGTGGATAATAATATCCGGTGACCTAAAATTGGTTAGGAAAAAGAGATACTAAAACATACAACACCTGGGATTCGCTGGTCGTCACCGACCCAACTACTAATCAGGCCCTCACCGGCTTATCTATGGGAGAGCGGACGGGATCCCGAGTTTTCCGGTAGGTATGGTCGTATGTATTAGAAGGTTCTCCAAATTCTATATATCTGTTCAGTATACCACGTCGTATGACCTCCTCGGAGTCGTTGGCACCAAGCATGGCATAATTAATCTAATGTGTACTAAAAAGTCCTGATACTCTTCAGTAGCGACCCCTATTTCTATAGAGATGCCTGCCTAAAAAATTCTTGCTTATTAAGCGCCTTTCAGAGGTCATTCTTCAATGGCTTTTAGTCTGTTTTAGTCAGGTAGGTGGTATGAATTGAGAGGAGTCCCCTATTCGCACAAGACGTCATTTTAAATAGGTAGCTTTAGTGTAATTTATCTTGTTCAAGTGCTGTGTTGCCGCCAGCTTCTAAAAGGACGTCTCCAATATGGTGTATAATATTGATAAGATTCGTACGGCAAGTCTGTGGGTAGAACTACTAGATAGCAACGCCTTGGAAGTACATTTCTTATGCTAACCTAAAGGTTAGTGATTGTATAACGACGAGGAGAAGACAGAGAAGTTCATTGACTTGGACACCAAATGAGGAATGGCCACGAATTAAGGGAATCCCGATAGATAGGGTAGTGTAGTATATCCTTATTTACAGACTAATATAACATGCAAACTTGTCTTTTATCATAGTTTGCCACCGGCAAGCTTGACAAGCTTGGGGAAGTCAGGGGTACCCAGACCTGTCACGGGGTCCCAACCCTTCACGGCCGGGAAACCGTCAACGCCACATCCAACTGCACTACCTTCAATGATATCATTCAGCCCCTTGTAGCCGACGGAGTAGAGCCAGGGGTTAAGGAACCCTAGCGGGGGTTTACCCGAGGCGAGAAGAGCATCGTTGACGAGACCGAGAATACCGCTAGTGAGAGGCGTGCTCGCAGATGTTCCACTGATGACACCCTCAGTTCCGTTCCAGAAGTATGCGAAGTAGAGACCTTGGGAGGCGATATCGGGATACGCACGGCCTTTCTTGTTGTACCATCCGTCGTACTCGCCCTTGAGGTCCTTGACATAGCTTGTGACCTCCTTCTTTTGGTATTTGGGGATGTCAAAAATGTTGCTGAAACCACCGCCGGACGTGTAGTTACCGTGGGCAACACCATCAGGGCCAACGAAGGCGGGACGGTAGGCAACGACCTCAGGCTCGAAGTTCTTGGTGGCGCCAACCGCGGTAACGTATGGGCATGAGGGTGGGAACTCAGGGAGGAACTTATCAGTGTTATTGCCGTCGTTGCTAACGCAGTCGCCATAGGAACCGACACCGGAGTCGCCGCTAGCGAAGAGAAGCGAGGTTCCACGGGCGCCAACCTGTGCAAACTGCTGGCACACACGTCGAGCGTAAGATACGGGTACAGTCTGCTCGTCATCAGCATATGAGGTGGAGATGACTTGGGGAATCGACTTCTGAGCAAGAAGCCAGTTCACCCAAACGAGATATGGTTCGTTAGAGTTGTCGGGCGTGCTTTTCGATGGGATGAATGGGGGCGAACCGCCAGTCGAGTAGCTGATGATGGGCGTTTTGGGATTGATACCAGCAATGGCTTGAAAGTCTAGGTTCGCCTCCTTGCTCTCGGAGCCCGACAAGGGCTCGTCACCAGGACCGTCTGCCAGGGTCAACTGAGGGAAAGTACGCGCTACTGAGACCGCTTCGGGACGGAATTTCTCAAGGAACAGCTCCCCATCGGTGCGGATAGGGTGCTCGCCCAAGTAATTTGTGAAGGCGACCTTGTTTTTGTGGGTTGCTCTCAACTGTTCCGTGTTAGTCACACGTTTGCCCGCCCAGGATAAATGGATCCAATACTAACCTTGTACCCCTTAGTTTTGTAGAGGGTCTCAAAGCACTGAGGTGTCACGGAGCTAGTGTTGCAGACCGCACCGATGTCCGAATTGGTCGGGTATTGCTTAAGGCTCTTAAGACTAGGATCAGAGAAGATACCCGTGTCCACGAAAGCTTGGGAGGCTTGGTTGCGAGCGCGGAAAAAGGAGTTCGTGGGCTGGATGGTATCGATGTGAGCGTGCAGGTGGTTTGGCAGGGACCACTCTGGAGCTCGCGCCACTTTGGCGCCATCCTTGTGTTCAAAGATGTGATACTCAGTACCGAGAAGCTTTTCTATTTCACCGATCGGCAGGGACACGGTAATCCAGTCCTTCGCCGCACTATAGGACGAGGGCACGATGCCATGGTCACCTAGCCACTCGTGGACAAGATCCGAGGTCTCTTTGGTCGGCTTTACAAGCTCTTCGACTTCATCCGCAGACAAGTGCTGTCCATATTTGGCACTGGCCGGGTCCGAAACTAGACATCAAGGTTAGTCAAAAGGATGATTCGCCCTCAATTCGAGTGTATAGAGAAGGGTGTATCTGCATACCTTCATACAACTGCTTCTCTAACTCGTTGAAGTTGCTTTGCTTTAGACCAATTTGGAGATCCAGGACATGGTCAGCCGGCGCTCTGGCGACTTTGGTCCAACCCCGAGGAACATTGTGCGAGTCTTTCAAGCTGTAGCCGGGACGAGCGACGGGAGTCGCAAAGACAACCTGAGCGGCGGCAATGACAGCAGCCGAAAACACGGCGGCACCAACCATTGTCGCGATTGAGTCGTCGGTGTGTGAACAGCGACGCACAGAACAGAGGAGGTGGTGAAGAAGGAAGAGGAGCGGACGCCGAAAGAGTGGCACGCTCGAGCTACTTGTAGTCGTCGGATTGACCAACGATAGGCGCGTACACGACCCATGGTAGTACCCATGGTACCAATCGTATTACATGGTATAGTGCATATCGTACACTATTACCCATGGCAGAGGGCGAATGGCGAATGGCGAATAGCTCGGCTGGGTCTGGTTCTCGCGTGCTATGATGCCTGCATATCCAAATAGTGACCCTTGTCAAGCCGCATGATCGATAGGGGGAGCCACAGCTCTCATTGGCTCTGCACAAATTAGAAGCTCTCGCCTCCTGCCGTCTAGATGACAGTTTGTAAATAATTTTCGAGTACTAAGTGGTTGCACGCAGTTGTCTGGTTTATTCACTCGCCAGAGCTCGTCATTATCGCTTCATCCGATCGGTTGACGGACAGGGATAAATGCCTAGGTAGCTAGCTAGTGTACTGCATAGCTGCTATAGCTGCCTACCTAGCTTATCCAGCTGGCTTATCCAGCTGGCTTATCCAGCTAGCTTATCCAGCTAGCTTATCCAAGGTAGCTCGGCCCCAACACGCTTTTGGAAGGTCGATGGTGGGGTAGTAAGCGGGGCAATTCCAAAAGCTGGGGTCTGCTGAAAAAAATAAAAATACTCTGAATAGGCCAAGGCGGTTTGATCGGGACAAGAAAGCTTATCAATTTATTAGTCTCTTGTCTTTGCCACGCTACCCGCTACGGCAATTGGCATTCACCGTATACTGTATGTGAAGTGGTGGTCAATCGGATCTCGTTTGCTAAGGTATATACATAATGTACCTATCTACCTACACTCACTATTATAGTAAGACCAATGACAATTTGCTACACTATATTGTACTACATATATGTAAGGTACACCAGTTATGCTAGGTAGCACTACATTTAGTGGGTTCCTCAGGTGCCATGTGGGTACTAGGCAGGTACCAGGCAGGTACCAGGCACGAGGTGTGAGTAAGCTTTGCCCAGAAGTACTAGTCCAGTAGCTCCGCCAGCCCTGTGTAGAGGCAAGATAGGCAGCTTTACGGCGTTCAGCTGGCTTCCGGGGACCGCAGCAGATGATTGGTTCGTTCAGCTGGCTTGCCTCTTCAGGTATGGCTCGTGCCTATGCAGTACCTTCCATGTAGATAGGTAAGACTTCTAAGCGTTATAAACCTCAGGCATTTGAGCACCAGGGTAGGCGAGGCAAGGCGGAGCACCTTTAATAGCGAGTTAAGGCAGGCACGCGTAGAAGTGCCTTTCTGTGTCTATTATTGATTACCTAGGTACAAGGTACACGAAGTATAGCATAGAAATATCAACTCTTAGGTAACGGGACGGTAGCACAGTTGGGAGCGCATCAGACTGAGGCCAACTTCGTTCAAATAATCTGAAGGTCACCGGTCCAATCCTGGTTCGCCCCAAATAAAGAGTTGTTTTCTCCCTTTCTCTCTTTTTTTTTTACTTATCCTTCTCCTTGATTTTTGTAGAGGCGTCCTCTTATACCGGTGTGTAAGGGTATAAGATGTGTCTAGCTATGTATTGTGGGCCCGTGGACACTTTACTGGGCAGCAACCATGGAGGCCCATACCAGGCCAGTACAAGCTTGGACCACAGACTGATACAATATTCGGATGGGACAGCCGGGGACGCCGTACAAGTACAACCTCGGACTAGTGCAGGCTTGGATCAGTATGCGTTCGTTCTTGTTATAGCACCAAGAGAAAGGCATTTATTATTTCATAGGTCGAAGTATAGCGTTGCCGGTATCGCCAAGTGTAGTATGGCTTTCGAAGGTAATAGTTTCTTGGCAGGGCACGTCAACTAGAACGCCTCTAGGTACGGCTAGATTGCCTATATCAAGAACCTTGGGCAAACCGCTGCGGGACTGACTCTCAGGCATCTGTGGATCTCCGCGATCCTAGCTAACGGGACAAAGGACAAAGCTGGTGGAGAGGGCCCATTTTCTACCGAGGATACTGAGGGAAGCATGATGGGTTAGCTTTCGAAACGCCAAACAACTTTTTTTCACCGTGTATTCGGGATCATCTCAAATCCAGAGACCCATGAGATGAAACTAAGCATAGAAGGTCAAGTCAATGTAGGAGAAATTTTCCAGGATACCTCAACCATCGATTTCATGAGTAGCATGATCACCGAGAGCGCAATATATGCTCCGGAGTGGGAGGATGAGGGATACGCTGAGCTTGGACTGCATGCCTCACAACCTTGACACCGCATCAACGTATGCTAAAGGAAACGCCAGTATTCCGGGCAAAGCTGCGAGATATGCTTACAGAGGCAGGACGTGAGCAAAAGATTGATAAAGACATGAAAACTTATGGCAAGTACTGGTCTTTGAGAGTCTATCGGAACCTTTTCATATTCCAGGTACAACTAGAACGCGGCGTCACGTTTAGTAGCACGACTCTATTTTCCGTTTTCGTCTTTTTGTCGGAGCCGGGACAAATACACCCCCACAGTTTTCTCAAAAGGCTACATTCCAAGTGACCCAGGGGTCGACTGGCCATTCAATATCGGCCCAACGACAACCCAGATGGTAAGGGTCCCTCATCGGAACGGAAATGGGCTGAAGGACAAGGTCTAGGGAGAAAAAATGGGAATGACTGTCTTTATCAGGTCAACACACTTGTTGATATCTTTGGGGGTAAGTCCGCACAAGACTTGATCCATGTTCCGCGAAGATGCTTAGTAAGATTTTTTGATTATCACAAGGTAGGTCGCCGCCACGAAGAAGCCATCTCACCCAAGATTATTTACAGAATTTTAATCATCACCGATAAATAAATAACAAAAAATTAAGATGTTGGGGTGAACCGGGATTGAACCGGTGACCTTCAGATTATTTGAACGAAGTTGGCTTCAGTCTGACGCGCTCCCAACTGCGCTACCGCCCCTCCAGTAATAGATATTAGTCATCATGGACCAATATCAAAATATCCTGTACTGGTACTGGACTGAGATTGGGGGTAATGCTACCTTGTAAGAGGTAGTGTATACTGAATTCTCCCGCGAGAATTAGGAATCCAGCAGCCGGATCTGCTATAACTTTCAATTACCTAGTTCCTTCTTGCTTGAGGAGATGTTGCTCTACCCTCCCTCATCTACCTCACATCATATGACGTCCCTTCCCTCACTATAAGTGTATAAACCATGCCCGGCGCAACGTAGTTAATCTAATGCGCTTGAGAACCAGGCTATTAGTGGTCTAACCCTGAATTAATAATATTAATATTACTTATATTTGGACCTGTAGCCTATCTAATGAGGTATATAACTATGTGTATGGCAAGTAGCTTTCTTTCGGGCAAAAATATTATTACATAACGTGGGCTTATAGCTAACCAGAAATGCTAAGGACAACGGGCTATAGAATTCACTGATGTTAAAAAAACTTCTATATAGTAGTATATAGCATCAGGTGTTTATATAGTCATGCCTTGCGTAGACAACGTTATACTCGGTGCCACACGCACTATATGATACAAAGCGACACTAATACTCTAAATCGCGTTCTTCATTATAGGAAATGTTCAACGTTTCTGCCTTATGCCAGCTAATCTAATTAAGTCGGCCCTTGCCTTAGTATGAGACATATTGATTACAATAGATAATGTAAGTCAGTATCACTAGTCTCCGGTCATGATCCAATTTCATGGGCCTACAACTTGTATATAGTGTTTTGTCAGTCTTACTACTTCTTAGGGTGTATACCTAGGTAACTACATGAGAAAAGCTTTACGCAATATAACGTTTAATTCTGTTTGGCTTGTATTGTTCACTAACCTAGAAGCAAGTGTACAGTGTAGGCTAAGTATATTATAAACGACTGTTACTATGGGAAAGTTATAGCAATACAAAAGGGACTTTAATATAACACAAGCTGTATTGCAGTTTATCAATTGCTTAATGATATGAATAGAGCCTACTGGGGAAAACGAGGCACTTGAGTCTGTACTCAATTGCAGAGAGCTATTGACTTAAGTTTCAGTTTATAGAGCTAAATATATTCTGCACGAGCCTCCACTGCCTGTATCAGATAGCTTAACATCAATATGATGGCCATGTATGTGGTCAGCTACTTGAATGATCTTGTGAATGGTGAATGTCCGCAGAATGCGCCAATCCAGAAAGCTATGATCATTGAACCACTATACCCCATTGTGTGGTTCTCTGTCACACAGCTAGCAGATATGGAATGTTTGAGAGTGACATAGTGAATGGCTGTGTATGGTCACGCATGAAGTAACACAGGAAATCTGTCCAAATAATGATGCAAACATAGATAGCATCGTATCTCCCAATAACCTCATATCACATACCAAACGGCAGTCAACTCACCAAAATCGGCTCATAAACCCAGATTTCTTGCCAGTACTTGTATTAGGGCACGCTACATCATCTCATAGCCCGCAAGATGGGTATCGATACCAATATCTGCATGGACTATTGTGCTCTTAGGGCCGACGGCGAGCGATTGAAGACCAGCAACCATGTGTCCGATTTCAAGACCTTTATTCGAACCGCATATCGGACAATCAAGGTGACCGAACGCGAAATTGGAAGAGTCAATTCCCTCTATTGCACTCAGGAGAGTAATGACGATGTTCGAGAATATAAGAGAATTACAAACGAGCTCAGAGAGTGGATAATATGGGCGACTCACAGAATTAGAGAGACGAGACATATTATTGCTCCAAACAAAACCAGCAGCAACATAAGAAGATCCATTATCTCTGCACCTTCCTATTCCATGTCCAGACTCAGCTTAGGCTAGCTGGAAACCCCAGAAATCGGTCTCCTCTCTTCCGAGAACACAATCGTCTATACTCGATTATTCCATTTTTAAGCCGCCTCGAGCTAGCTCATACCTACATAATCAATTGAGCACTGTCGTCGCAACAGGGCTTTGACAGACGAAAAGACGAAAAAAAAAGCAACCGAGAAATATCACGCTTAAGGATAGGCCCTTGGGTACTCTAGTTTCGCTATGCTTCGGCGTGTTGAGTCTTTCTAGATCTCAGTGTTAGTATAATGGGCAGAACAGATATTGCGGGAGGCTAACGAGAGGTTGGTTTACCTATACAACGGCCCCGTATGTTATCACATGAAAGGGCTCTGGGTATAAGTTATAATGAATGTTTTTTTACCCAAATTGCCTAGACTAAACTAGCGATCTTTTATGAATACAGAACGGATGTTCCAAGAGTGCCTGTACGAATCGGCCGGACTGAGTGACTAGACACCTCTAGCAAAAGAAGTTCATCATGACTTGACTTAAAGCTCTTCAAGGTTTCTCATATTGCAAGAAAATATATCCTTGAAACTCGCTGTTGAGAGTAGAGAGTGTTTGTAGTAGGGGGTAGCGTCTACCCTCGTACGAATATCACATTAGAGGATTAAGCTGAGGATGCGGTATGCACTTAGAACAATATATAATATTTTATTACTGTTGATAGAGACTATTAATAAGGGAATCCCGGGCTTTTCACCGCGTGACACGTATTCGTGACACTCATACCTTGGTTTCTGCAGCAAGGGCCTCACATGAAGCACATCGTTGACGCTATCGTATGAAGAGGATATACTGCGCTCGGACCTATTTATGCGAAGGCTCATTCGGAAGGGCGGCCCTATGGGCATGGGCCCTCTGCCTATTGCTACGATAGATTAAATAGACCACTCGACGCCTGTCTTTTTAAGCGGCGTTGGCATTGATAAGACGAAGCCTCACAGTCACTGACGTAGTACGTGCGCAGGGTATAAGGCGGAAAGGAAGCGACGAATAAGTGATTAGTACGCGAAACCTAAAGAAATTGACGATATCATCACCTTGGTTAGCAAGAAAGTGGGATGGGAGACAACATTGACTTCAGCTATGTATCTAGTCTAGACTACCGCAGACTCCAATATAGCAAATTGATCTTTGTCGGAATCTAGGGAAACCAGTGTATCATAAGGTAGGGTAACAAGCGGAGAGGTATGTCCAAAATCCACATTAAACAGGATAGGAAACTTCTTTTCCGCCAGAGGTCCATCGCATAGAAGTCCCTTGATCACGTTGACATACTGCTCCCTCAGCTCCGGTGTATGGTATCCGAACGGCCGTCCCACCACCAGACCCGCGGGATCCTCAAACACGCCTTGCGCGATCAGGTCCGCGATGCCGGCCTGCACACGCTCGATGGGGTTCCCCGAGACATGGTCGTCGCCAATGGCGGTCTCGAAGAAGACAATTCGACCCCGCCAGTCGGGCGCGATGGCGCGCACACCCGCTAGACGCGCCATGACAGTAAGACAGCCGCCGAAGAGGCGCCCCTCGCCCTTCCCAGGCCGGAGCCACGTCCAGCCGGCATTAGGGGCGAGCTCGTTCCGCTCTTCCGACTTCCCGGGAAACACGAAC